TGATGCATAACCTGCCTCTTTTAAAGTGCAGGTTGACAGGTTAGAGTCTTATAAGTCAATTTGTCATAAACCACTGCAATGATACTAGAATTAGTATCAATTGTAATAAATCCATCATTTTTTAGAAAACAATGAGTTCCATTAACTTTTTCCTTAACCATAATAAAGGATTTGCAAGCTGCTAACTTCAAACATTCCATTGAACAAGCCTTAGCATCAATTACATTGTGTATGAATGGGATTCCATTATCTCTTCCTGTGATAAAGCCCTGTCTGTAATTGAATCCTTGAATATAATTTTTTGATCTATAACATCCATATCCAGCTTGATAACAATTGAATGCTTTCTGTTTTGAAACTAAGCAATATCTCTCAGAATGAGAATATTCCCCTCCAACACGAATTCTCTGACTAATTTCAATGTTACACTCCTCAATTTCACTTTCAAAAAGTCCAAAAACTCAAAATAATCTCACACTGACAATTAACATTTGACAGGACAAAATCATGTTGTAGATAACATAAGAGCCAAGTATGTGATATATATGATTGGCAAATTATCAACAGCTAGAGTATTAATATATTAAAGTGTCCTCTATTGGTAATGAGTTGTTTTTCAAGTATTTATGATTAATATTTTGAAAAAAGGAATAAGTTAAGTAATTAATTGTAAAACTAATAAATTTTTTATATCTTTTTATAAAAGGTCAAATTAATAATAAAAAAATTTTCGGATACAACAGAAAACGTCCCCAAATTCATGATTTAACCCTAACCCTAACCTAGCCCTTGTCTCTCCTTAACCTTTTTGATTGCTCCTAACCCTTAGATGGAACCCCCCTAACTATAAATTAAAAGCTACTTTACCCCTCCTAACCATTTTTCAATCCGAAATGTTGCTTTCAAAAATCTCATTTGGGGACATTTTCTGTTGGCCCCAAATTTTCTAATCAATAAATGATTGTACCATGGAAACTGTAAACTTTGAATACAGTTTAAAATAGTATTAGGTTGGTTTCTCTCTTTTGAAATTTTAATATTTTAGATATGTATATGCTAATATATAAATATCTCTTGTTCAGTTTTAAATTCTCTCCACTCTTCTATATTTTCATATGCAAGGTAGTTTTCTTAGATTCAAAAGTAGGATGATAGTATGGAGATCTTTGTGGTATTCTTAATTTCCCAATATCATTTTGTAGGAAATTATGATATTTGAAATGATTATCTCCTGATTATCACCTGAAATATTGAATAAATTTTTTTGTTAAAGTCAATATTCCAAGTGTTTCTATCACTTTTCTATTATTTAGGGTTAGGGTTAGGTGTAGTATGTAATTTTTATACTTTCTATATTCAATTCTTCTATTCTATGTTATATCAAGTTCCGCCATTTTAATTTTTAAATATCCCCTGGAGAAAACGTCCCCTGGAGAAAACTTTCTCTGAAAAACATAGAAGATCCCAGAACTGTTTCCTGTCTGGATTTCAAAATGGCTACCAAAAGTGATTACAATATGGGAATGTATTGGATATGTCTCAAAATCAATAATAATTCAAATTTGAAAAAGTATTTTTTAATATTTTCTTCACATAGTGGATGTTTTCTCCAACCAGTGGACATTTTCTCTAACCAATGGACATTTTCTCCAGGGGACGTTTTCTCCATAATTCCCTTAAATCATCTACTGAACATGACATAAAGAAAATCTGACATTGACTGGACAATGTCCTGTCATATTGATATTTTTTTCAAAATACATTTTCTATACTTATTAAATATTTTTCACAATCATAAATAATACAAGACATTTTTAATTATATTCAAGGAAAGATTTCTCCAGGGGATGTTTTGTCCAGCATTCAAAATTGTCACTGCTGCTGAAAATGGTTTATAATAATTTTATTATAACACTAAAAATCAGGCCTATAAGAGGAATAATGTTCCAAGAGTCATCATTAATTTTAACACTTTTCAAAATTGCTCAAAGGAAAATGCTCAATGTGTGAAGATGGATACAAATTAGATAACCTGGGTAAATGTAAAGGTTAGTACAAGGGCACATAGTTAGTAAGGGCACATTGAAATGTATTTACTGTAAAAGTGGCTATTACCTAAAGGAAAACCAGTGTTTACCTTGTCCAGAAAATTGTCATGAATGTGATGAACAGCTTGTTGTCATTGTTTGTCACAGTGTGTTCTTCTTGCCCTGCCCATTGATCTGAAATGTCAACGCTCTAATGGAAGGCTTATTTGTTTATCAAATAGTTGCAAAAATGGCTATGCCTTAAATGCTTCACCTTTGCAGTAAGTGTCCAGAAAATTGTCTTTCCTGTGCATATAACATAGGAAACTCAAAAATAAAATACAACGGCATTAGTACAAGTCATTCTTGTATTGAGAATCAAAATGGAAGATCATGGCCAAGAAAGAATGATGGAACTTACCACGGTTTGTAAATAATTGTTTTTTGTTTTGTAAACATTTCCTTACAACTTTTACTCTCTTTGAGTGTAGAATGCCCACCAAAATGTACAAAATGCTACTTTAAAGATGATAAGGCAGCATCTCCTCTATGCTATGCTTCCAAATGCTCATCTACATATGGTTTTCATGGTATGATTGGCAGCTGCTTCCCTTGTCCTGAGGGTTGTGATTTGTGTAAAAAGAGGTCTAATTCTGATATTTGCTTAAAATGTAGTAAAGGTTATGGGGAAAAACTGAGTTCAACATTAGCTGGCACACCTTCAACAGTCTCTATAACTCAAGCTCCAATGTGTACCATTTCAAATTTTCCTAATTTTAGACCTGATATTAGTCTTTAGTTGTACTTATTTAATATATTCATATTCAAATATCTCCAATTCTTCTTATTTGGTTTTACTTTCAAATTTCCCTCATAACTCTCTATATCTAATATTTTCTTCCCACATTAAATCCTCTATTAGTCATTTCCTCTATTGGACATTTTCTCCAGTGGATGTTTTGTCCTGTACCCAAATGTTGATATACATACAATTTGTTAACACAAATGCTAGAGGCACAGGTTTAATATCACATAGATAATCTCCTGCTGCTTCAATTGATCTTTTTCTTCTGTTATCATTATATGTAACTCTTACAATTTCATTTGGTTGTAATGTACCTTCTAATTTTACAACAGAATCAAAAATTTCTTCTCCATTAACAGACTACACCATTAAGATAAGTAGGACTTATATCCAAAGGAGCTGAATCAGCATATTTAAGTTCAATATATTTGCCAGGATAACTTATTTCGTTGATCAAAAGCTTCTGCAATGAGCTTTGCAGTAAAATTAAATTTAAAATGCCTGCATAGAATTTCTGCATATTTTCAAGTATTCTAAATTCAATGATTCAACTCAGCTTTCTGATTATTTATAGTTTTAAAGGAGGCTATTTTTAGCCAGGTCATATTCAAAACTTTTATTATGGTTAGATAAACAGTTATATGGCCTTTCCTATTATTTGTTTACTTGGAATGCACATTGTGACATCAGATCTAACTCTATTCAAACAAACTTGTTTCTTCAAAGTTCATTTTAATAGCTTGTTTAAAACTCATTTTACAAGATGTTTTTTTCAGATGAGCCAAGAAATCTTTATCACTTGTTACAAAGGTCTGTCAAATAATACTATAAAGAAAAACCTAATGAATAGCTTGCTCCTTATATCCTAAAGCCAATGTCAAGGACACTCTACTGTTGTAATGTAGTTCTAGTCAAATCATCAACTATATTTCCTAGGCCTAGTGTTGTACAAAAGTACCCATGATTCAATGTCAAAGATAACATGATTTTGTAAAAAATGCATCTACATTGACATTTTTAATATGTGTTGAAATATTTGACTTTCAAATGTCCTTGACAAATATTCAATACTACAAATTCAATCTTATGAGAATTGATTAATTTACTTTTCTTTTTTTTTAACTTTGGAAATTTAGGTCATTGTAGTACCTAATAGCCACACTAACCATGGCCTAATAGTGCTTATAGTGTGAGTGCAATAAGGGGATTATCAACTCTTACTGGTTGTGCTAATCCCTAACTCCAAGACCTAACCCAAATAATTGAATAAGAGTGACCCACAACAACAACAGCAAGTTGATGATTATTTGTTTTGTGAGTGGTTAAACCCTACAACCCAACCCAACCCAAACCAAAACCTAACCCTACATTTGAACTCAGGTAGGACTGTCACCCCTATTCTAGCATTTGCAGCTAGCAGGTAGTATTAATTTCTCACCATAATCTGATTCTATAATGGCATTTGCTACTTTAATGTAAGAAATTTTTTGAAATAAAGCTTCAAAATTGGTGTTGATTTAAAAATATTGTACTGCTCTTGCTGGCAAAATCTATGCGTTTGCAAGTTATAACAATACTGGTTCTACTCGAACCTTTAAACAAATGTTTAAATTAAAACGGTTTATTCGCAATAATAATACTTAAGCAAGTAACAATATGAGAGTTCGATAGCAGAGTAGATAGTTTGTAAAAGCAGGTTGCCAAATTACCAAACTGTCTTCCAATGTTGAGGAGTAGATGGATGGTTCCAGTGGAGGTTGTTTCCAGATGATTTTCCCAGGTCCTTGGGTCCAGATGGAAGCTGCATGCCAAATGAGAATAATAAGGATTTATATACTTTGAGGTTTGTCTCTGACATCCAATCATCACTTTACAGTTGCCAAAATGTGTAGTTCATATTTATCTTTAGTAACAGGATGTTACAAGGTTCAACATTTAGGAAGGTTAATTGAATTATAACTTGGCCACACCCTAGGCAAGTTAATTAAATTATAACTTGGCCAAACCTTTATTGGTAATTAAAGATGAACCTTCAAGCTGACTAATCAGACTTATGTTTGGCCAATGTTTTAGCATTTTCTTGCGTAGGTTTTAAGATGTACATGTATATGTTGCATAAAATAATAGAGTTCAAGCATGTAAAATATAACCAAAGTTGTACAATATTCTTAATATTTATAAAGTAATTTCATCAAATTATGCACTGAATTTGTTTGTCCAAATTGAATTAAAAGATTACGTATTTCATGAACAAGTGGTATAATTTCTCTCCAATCAGTATTAACAAGACTTTGAATAACACCCAACATCATTTTGCTAGTTTCTGCCCTCTCGTATAAAAAGTTCATTTTCTCATTGAATTCATCTAAACTGTAGGAATGAACAATAGCCTTGGTCACCAATTTAAAATCATAATAATTCATAAAACTATAATGGAAGTTGTATTTGTAGCTTTCATTTGGAACTAATTTCATTGTCCAATCCTGTCCGAATGCCTCAGTGATGTTTTTTAACCGATTTTCAACAAATTTTTCAACATCTTTTGGATCATCTCCACTATCTCTCATTCTATGAAATTGTTTATATCCATCCAAGATCTCTATCCAAAGATTTATGGTTGTTTTTAAAATATTATCATTAATATAATTTCTCTGACTAAATTCAATGATTCTGCTAGTGAGAGATCCATAATAATAGTAGTCGGAAGTACCAATAAAACCAAAGAAATTGAATAGTAATTCGCTTTCAGAAGATTCTAGAATATTGCATACAAATTCTAAAACAATATCAGGTTCATAGAAAAGAGATAAACTGGTATTTGTATATTTTTCTAATATAGGTATTATAGTATATATCATGTATCTATTCTTTTGCCAAAATTTTACAACATCTTTAATTATTTTATGTTTACTATAATCACAATTTTTAGATGGTGTTTTAATTAGGTCAATTAAACCTATTTTCTCAAAATCATGATAAGTAACTAAAAGTTCTTTGGCGAGTTTTATGCCAATTTTTAAATTGACCATCTCCTCAGCATCAAGCATGAATTCTCTGATATTTTTAAGCATATATTTCAATCCAAGTTTATTTGAAAAACCTAAATTGATGAGGAATGTTTCATCATTTTCAACTCCTAAAATTGAACAGATTATTTAGAGAGAGAGATGGATAAAAACAACAACAAGTTTAAACCTTTGAATGAATTTGCCAACTTTTTATTCATTAATCTAGTCATTTTAAAATCACTAATACCAAACTGAAAAACAGGATCAATGTATCTTAACCAGTTTTCACCATAAGTATCCAGTAAATCATCTAAGAATGACTGAATTTTGCTTAATGGAATGTTAATTGGCCATTCTAAAATTATTTTTGTATGTCCAATAAATGATAATAGTTTTTCAGAAATTTCAATAGATTTTGAAAGGGAATTGTAGGGATGAAGAAATGGAATTATTGATTCTTCATAATATTCAATATATGATCTCGAAACTTCTAGATATATTGCCAATTTATTATTCAATTCCCTCTTATCTTTCGAGTTGATTATATTACAAAATTGTATCTTGAAATCGGCAGCATTTGATAATTTTCCCCTGAAAAATGGATAAGCAAATGGGGCAAATTGTTTTGTAATAATTTCTAGATTATTACTGACAAAGGTAATCAGTTGATCTGCAATTTTATCATAAGTACATGCTGGAAGGGTAAAGATGCCAGTTAAGTAAACAAATTCAACTAGTTGATATCCTCTTTTGTAGGATTGTATCACTTTATTGATTTTGTCATCAGATATATTTGCCACCAAATTGTAAGTATATACAAATAAATTCTCGAGTGATTCACCAGTGTACTTGTCTGTATCATTGACATATTTAGCTGAGTTAATGAAGAAAAGATAATGAATGATCTAGTATTTTAGAACCAGTCTAATATGTTGTATATGGTCACCTCAATAGTTTCTGTTAAGATTAGTTATAATAGGGGTTTGGAGCTAATGTACACATTTTGAAAATGTTGCCAATTACATTAGGGTATGTTTGAATTCTCCACAGGTACATTCAAATCCCCCCCCATATCATTATAATAGGCCTATTAGTTATCTAATGAGTACAATATTTTTCTCTAGGCCTAACTCACCTTATTAGTGATTCATTATTGTTACTGTCATCACCTAAGAGATTAGTATGGAATGCTTTAAACAGCAAGGTTTTAAAGCTGTTCAACACTTTTGGGAAGCTATGGAATTTTTTTGAATTAGAAAAAAGTGTAACTATTCTTCAGAAATCCTTTGAGTGACCTTTGTATAAATAACACCAAAGTTCTCACCTCTTACTACTGCAATAGCTCCTTTGGAAGCATCCTCTGTTCTCCAGAACTGCAATGTTCTGATAAAAATTCGAATTATATTCATAGTATATCTATTATTCCACCAGTTTGAATCATATTTCAAAGACATATGACGCATTAATTTTGAATATTTCTCTATAAATTCCGATTTTGTCGACACATTTTCATTAATGATATTTTCACGAGTAAATTTTAATAGTTCATTTAAAACTTCCAATGCTTCTAAGAATTTACCATCTTCTACATAAGGTTTTAAATGTTTATATTCTCTTCTTATGTAATAAGCCATTTCTTCTGGAAGTGCTTTCATTCCAACAATCTCAGTTAGTCTTTTGCTTATTTCTGTCATTGTTTTACTGTTCAAAAGTGTACAGATGGTTTTTGTTAGTTTGTCTTGATCTTTTAGCATTTCGTATAAATGATTATTAAATAACACACTCATTGCTCTTTCATATTCTCTTTTACTGAAAACATTGGCCATATCATTGTCAATCCAGTCTAAAAGTTTGGTAGTAAATTCTGCACACGTTGTTTTTTTTATAGCTAAAGAAGAGAGGAAGGAAGGAAAGAAAGGAAGATAGAAAAACATTATAAATTCAATTTTTTAATATTTACTTTTTGAATTTACTTGAAGACAAAGAAATGAGAGAAGAGTGAACAAAATGATGTATACTTTCATCTTTGTTTTGCTGTATGTATATATTTTGTTAGTGCTCATCAATCCAATGATACTCAAGTTATGTATAGAAAAGTTTTTATATCCTTAGAGATAATAGTTTGAAAAATTGAACACAACTTTTCTCATTGAAATAATTATTTAATTTTTGTAAACTACATACTGACATCAATTTTACAAAAGCAGAAAATTTAGTCAATTTGATAACACAATTCAATGATTTTCTATCAATTATTCTTCTATCAACTCTTCTTGATTGCTTGTGACAATGATAATTGACAATATTCATGAATGTAGTCATTAGAAATAATAGCATAATTACCTGACAAGCAACATAAGCTGTCTAAAAAAGTGGCAGGGTTTTAACCCTTTTTTTGTTCAATTTGGTTATACAACGATTGTTCAGTTGGGGCAAGCAAGAATGAATCCGTTTCATATTTAAATCAAAATTTCGCTCAATACTAGGCCTAAAAAGGGAACTTGGAGAATATAAGCCAACTCTTGTTAAAGTGTTCACTCCACCTGCGCCATTTGTTCTGTGACAAACCAATAGGTTTTCCAATATTTTTTCATGAGAATGACAAGCCTGATGACAATTTCATTATTAGAAATATGGAAAAGATTATTGTCTTTAAATCTAACCAAACTCCATTCAACTTTTCCTCTAGCGAATGAGACTAACTTTGCATTGAAACCATAAAAGCTGTATACTCAATATCAGAATAGTTTCCATTGTGGCATAATTCAATTTCGAATATCCAATTGGACAAACTTGTTTGTAAGAAGTTCCATTGATGCAATGGTAATAGATGTTACAATTATTTTTATCTCTATAAGTTCCATCAATCAAAATCCTTCAAAAGAAGATGGAGAAATTGAACATGACCATAGATTTATGACCAGTTTCAACCACATTCAAACCTTAATCTATATTTTAACACAACCTCTCTATGTGCGACAAACTTGAGCAAAGTTTGCAAACAAACATTCACCAGCAACAGAAATATATAGGGAATTAAATTTTGAGCATTTTATTATATCTATAGCGATAAAAGATCTATGAAACAATCAGCAGGAAACGATGACTCTTTCAATTGATAAACAATTGCAAACATGTTTGAATGAATTTGTTAAGAAAAATTTGATCAAAATATTTGTAAAAAAGTGAAAAATAGTATTCAGTTATTTCTAGTTTGACTACCAGTTTTTATTCTTAATAAAATAGCAAAGGAGGATTTACAAATTTGACTTTTGCGAAAAAGAGAAGGATATGAAAATGGAAAGGGATAACTGTCGAAGTCATATAGGGACAGAGTGAGTATAACTAGATCCATCAACCCTGAATGGAAGCCTAGGTGACATTTGTCTTTGAGGAGGCTATCTCTAATACAAAGGTGGCAATTTTTAATGGAACAATCCTGACATGTGAAATCCAGATTATATATGATCTACCAATTGAACAGCCAAACTGTAAAGATATAGACCTTTCATCGTTTTCGGGGTCGATCCTACATTCTGAACAAGAAATGGGTAAAGTTGGAGATTGGATACATTTTCCTTTCGAATTTAAGGTGTAACCATATAACCATTGTGTACATTTGCATTCCAAACAATTACTTTCACATTGGACACATGTTGCAGATTCAGTTGAGTTTAAACCAAAAGTAGCTTGACATTTTGAGCAGTGAACTGCTCACTAAACAAACTACGCAGTGTTGTTTGACAGATGAACAACGTAAACATTGACTTTTGTTGTTTGAAAATATATTGTTATCTTGAAATTGATTACAACCACAAGAACTACCTGATTTTACTTCTAAACCATCAGATCTAAAATTAGGAAAATTTGAAATGGTACACATTGGAGCTTGTGTTATAGAGATTGTTGAAGGTGTGCCAGCTAATGTTGAACTCAGTTTTTCCCCATAACCTTTACTACATTTTAAGCAAATATCAGAATTAGACCTCTTTTTACACAAATCACAACCCTCAGGACAAGGGAAGCAGCTGCCAATCATACCATGAAAACCATATGTAGATGAGCATTTGGAAGCATAGCATAGAGGAGATGCTGCCTTATCATCTTTAAAGTAGCATTTTGTATATTTTGGTGGGCATTCTACACTCAAAGAGAGTAAAAGTTGTAAGGAAATGTTTACAAAACAAAAAAACCAAAAAAACCATAAAATATGTGAAAAAAGATTTCCTTGATTGAATATTGGCCTATTTGTGAAGTTGCATTAAATAAGTTCAAATTTTTATCTAAATAATGGGAATGGTATATTTGAATTATTTAAAAGAGACAAACAATAAGAAACAACTGTTGTTGAGTAGTCTGCCAACTGTTTTTTTTAAAGTTTATAGAATTTAGTTTATAAAAATTAATATGAAAAACTGTTAACATCTTGTTTTTCTCACTCTGTGAGTATAGTTGGGTCTCTTTATTATCCATAGCTAACATTAAGCTTAGTTAAAAATTTATTTACAACTGCTATTGCTTGACTAAAAAGAATTTCTCTTTTTGTATAAATTTCTTGACTCTACTAAGAATTCATACCAAATTTTTAATTATTAAATAATTTTAATTATTGAATATTTTTAACAATACATCAAGTGGAAAATAATATAAAAAAGTATTTTGTTGACCTTATCTCCTCCAAAACACCTCATCAAAACAAAGCTAATTAGTCATGTTATGTGTTCATCAATCGCAACTTGGCCAAATCTTAAGTGGCACTCAAAGATGAACCTTAAGTATGACCAACCAAGGTCTGTGTTTGGCCAAATATTCATGTTTGCGATTGATCTCTGAGAAATGGTCTGATCTTCACGGATAAGCCAGTCAATTGCTTCTCTGTTCTGACTTCTCACATGATTTGCAGTTGCTTGCGCCAAATTTGTATTAGCTCTGCAGAATTAAAGGAAATTTTCCTCAGTGAAAGTTTACTAATTCACTACAATTATTGGAAAGTATCAATGATATTTGTTGAGCTGTTTTAAAATTACAGCACAGAGTTTGTTGTTGACAAAGGAAGGCTAATAATTCATCATCTTAAATGAACAATTGCACATTAGGGTGTTTACTGTAGCCCACAGAAATTAGCCTAAATTAGATTTTTAAATTAAAAAAGGAATTGAAATCTAGACATCCATATATTTTCTAAACATTAATTGCAAATATTTGTCACAAGTATTTCAACTTTTTCTTTATGTTTCCTTAGAAATTATAACTCATTTACTGAATACAAATTCCATTTGTTAAAAAGATGAAGATTAAAAAATTTCAAAAAAGATTTGCTAAATAAGCAAATAAGAGTTGAAAATCTAGGACACCTTATTGATATACAAGTGAGGTGATATGTTTCAAACACTATAAAAATAACTTAATCTTGATATTTAGAGAGTTTATGGTATAAATGATCAGATATCTAATCAATCTCTATCATATGAACCTGATTAAATCCTAATATAAAACTGTTTGAAAGTAAGGTTACAAATATTTAGTAGAAACTATCACTTGCAATGAAAAAAAGATAATAAAAGAAATGAAAACATTCTTTTTATGTAAGTTAATTTGTAGTTAAGTTTATTCTAATTTATATCAAAGTTTTCATCCTATTTTCTACAGATTTCTGCTGCTATTACTTGATTTCTGTGTCGTCCTGCTTCATTTGTCCAACTAATGATGCTTCTAAACCAATTGATGGAACATATAGAGATGGCAGATTTTGTGATATATATTATCATTGTATTAATGGCACTGCCTATCAACAACGCTGTCCACCTGGACTCTTCTTTAAATTTTTTGTTACTGACTGTGCATTAAATACCTGTGTTGAACTGGAATTTGCTGATTGTCCTCATTATTCTAATAGAAGCACAATAAACTCTTATAAACAGTGCAATTCAGATAATCATAAACATAACAGACCATGTTTTGCAAAAACTGATGAATGTGCTCCAGACAAAAACATCACAGTTCCTAGTCTTGTTGATTGTCGAATTTATTATCATTGCCAAAATGGCGTTGGTTGGCCTCAAACTTGCCCACCTGGTTACTTTTATGAACCAAAAGTAAATTCAAGAGAGTGTACTATCAGTTTGTGCTTGCCCGAAGAGGAAGCAAACTGTCCAACTGCAGGTAGCTGGTCTGAGTGGTCAGCATGGGGAGATTGTGAACCCATATGTGGGGAAGAAGGAATTCAAACTAGAATCAGAGAGTGTAATAATCCACCTCCATCTAATGGTGGAGATGACTGTCCAGGCGTTCCAATTGAGATAAGGCCATGTATGAATCCAAACTGTAGTGATTTTGAGTATACAGCTTTCATGGTTTCAATGGAAAGATCTGTTCAGTTACCTAAGGGCAAAGTTAAATGGAGCTCAGTTGATTTAAATATTAATAATCTATTTAGCATTTCCGATAATTCTATGAATATAAAAGATCACGGTATATATTTCACATTATTAACTGCAACAACAGCAAGTTCATCAGGGGTATCAATGACCTTGAGAAAGACGGGAACATCTATAGGATTAACTAGAACAAATGGCACTGGTGGATGGGATGTGTCAACAAGAGCTGGTTTATTTTCTCTAAGTAGCCTTTTTAGTCCTACTATTGAACAAGATTTTGATTCAGCTAATGTTATTGGCACTAATGTTGGAAAAGAAACAGCATGGTTGGGATTCAAATATAGAACAGATTCATATTTATTTGCTGCAACTGACTATTCTGCAAATTATGACAATGAAAAGATTCCACTTGCAAACATTATTACTATGAAAGGATTTGAAATCGATGTTCATTTTAGAACTTTTAAAACTCAAAATGATGGACTTTACTTTATTCATTTTGGCTCTAGACTCGCAAAGGAACACAAAATGTATATATTAACCTACCCTTATTATACATATGGTAGATATATTTCTAGTAAGGGATCAAGAATTCGTCCACCAGTGGAATATCAAGTATCGAGGGGGTGTATAGTCGAGAGCAAGAAAAGAGATATCAGTTTTAATGCAGATAGAACCATTTTGTCTTCATCCCAGCAGGATGCTTATTTAATAATTTTCAAATTAAATTCTGATTTACCAGCAGTGACTGTCGAAGTCAAACCAAAAGATGGGCCTCAGTGTTCACTTAATAGTTTTTCAACAGTTAGGTTTGACTATGTGAAATTTGATACAACAAATGCTTGGGATAAAAATAGGAATCTGTTCATTGCAAATTTAGAGGCACTGTATTATGTTGATGCAACAATCACAGCTGGTCGTTTTCTTTCTGTAGAAGGTTATATTGAAGTAAATGGAATGAAAATGTGTAGAATAGTGAAATTTAGCACTAAACATCTTGGTGGAGAAGTAGTTTCTAGAGGTTGTTTAGTAAAATTGAAGATAAATGACATTTTGAAACTAATTTTTAAGGGTTGTCTAGACCATGAACAAATTCAATCATCCCTTACAATATTTGCTATTCCAAAAGAACATTAATCTACTTGAACAGTGAAAAATGTTTGTTGATCAATTTATCAACTGATTTCTTGAAGTCATATTCAAGCAATAGACCAATTGCTAATCACTAAGCCATGTGACAATAAAATATACTTTGTTTTATTATTTTCCATTTTCTGTATTTTTGATAAAAAAAAGTTGATATTTCATTCATTTAGTCATTTTTATCTTGTTTGAATACTTTTGCTTACTAGAATATATACAGTTTCATAATTTATTAGACTATCATAAGACATTTGACAAAGAGGATATTAGCATTTTGTAATCAGCCTTTCTACAGTTTAACTATTTGTAATATATGACTTGATAATTAGGATAGAAAATATTCTGTATTTCTATTTAACTTTGACAAAAGACAATAAAGTGTTCTAACACAGAGGTGTTTGTTTTATTTTATCCTGACTTCTATTTCCAATATTCCTATCGATAATCCAATTAAATAAATAATAAAAATATCAGTATATTTGTAGATGCTCTACATAAGGCAGGAATATTCTTCCGGAATAGACATTTTTTTATATTTCTCCCATAGTTTAGATGTTATATATTAGGGTCACCCAGAAAGTTCTCGCTATTTTGCTGTATTTTTAAAACAGCACACTATCATCTCAAGAATCTGTTGATCTGGATACGTGTCTAACAATATAGACAATTTCGAAATATTTGTAAGCGCACTTACACTCTTACCTTCACTCTAGACGCATAGCTTTAAGTGGTTTATTTCTAATTGAATGTTCTACTACTCTGAGTATTCATCACTAAAGACCAAACTCTAAAAAAAAAATTTTGAAATTTGATATTTACAGAGAACTTTTGCATTGGAAAAAATGTAATATCATTTCAAAATATCTGCTTTGCATTCTTTATGATGAATGATGCATTCTTAAAATTTGATATGCATTCACTATGTAAAAAAATAAACTATACATTATTAGATTTTCAAACATTCACTTCATCAATTGATGTCTTAACTTTAACAAGATTTTACAATGGTGTTATGAAGAAGATATCTAAAAGACACGAAATTATAACAAGTTATGAAGGTATGTTAAAGAAATCTTTCAATACTTTCCATTTACCTGATTTTTTCTTAGTTTTACAAAAAAAACTGATATTCATAATAGAACAATTGAAGTTACTGGAAATGTTTATCCCCTTGACTATCTTACAGATTATATGTTTTTAAAAAGAGATTATTTATTGAAGTTTCTCAATGATTATCTATCAAATCAACAACTAAACGATGCTAATTGTTTAGTTTATGAAACTGTTTATAATAAATTTACAAAATTAAGTCCAACCACTTGCAAAAGTATTGGATATCAAGAAGTAATTTGTCAAAAAATACCCAATATACAAAGAAATTTAGATTATAATTTCTTTATGATTGACCTAAATACATTCAAATGTCCAAACTATACATTTCATTGTTATCAAAGTATCTGTATAAATGTTGCCTATGTTTGTGATGGAGAAGAAGATTGTCTATTTGGAGAAGATGAACAAAATTGTTCTGGTATAATTGAAAATCAACAATTTCATTGTTTTACTTCAGGAGAAATTATACATATTCATCTAGTTTGTAATTATAACTTTGATTGTTTGGATCATTCAGATGAAGAATTTTGTGGTAGAAAATATATAAAAATTTCAATGAAGTGAAACTAATACAATAATGATGATACATTTTCAGAAAAAAAGCCATTTAAAATTGATGAAATGTGAGATTTAACAATTCTTTTGTTTATCTAACAATAAATGTTTTTTTTATAGAAATTGCAGGAACAAACAATGTATTAATGAACTGATGATATGTAACAATGAAAAAAACTGCTTTGACTCATCTGATGAAATATGTCTTGGCAATGAAAGTATTGTTGAAAGTATAACGGGTGATAAATTTTTACAAGAGTTTAATTAATGAAAAAACAGAAATAATTATTATAGATTGCAATAAAGTCAATCAATTTAAATGCAATAATAATTGCTTTCCAATTTTTAAAAAATGTGATTTTAAAACTGATTGTTATTATGAGACTACAAGACAAGGAAGGTGTAAATATAAAGCTTATATTTTTAGATTGAGAAATTCTTGCTATCTTGAGTATAACTCTATGGGACAATTATTTTCCAAAGTTCATTCACCTTATGATCAATTATTATTTTGTGCAAAAGAGACATGCAAACCTGGTCATTATTTATGCCAGTATAGAAGATATTGTATATCAATTAAACAGTACTGTGATGGTATCAACCATTGCATTAGAGGAGATGATGAATTATTCTGTGGTAATTTACTTATAGCAAAACAAAAAGTGTTTTAAGAAGAAAACTAGGGAAAATGTTGGGAAAATCTTAAATACAACTATCAATTTGTATTGATTGGCTTTTTGCCAGTTGATCCAAGTGACTGTTTAGTTTTAGGATTTTTTCAAACAGTTTCCAAACATTAATCTATCTCTCTATTGTTTAGTTATGACTAAATCTTTATTCAGGAGAGTATCAACCGAAGGCTTTTTTCAAGTGCAAAAGGCAAAAACTTTACATACTTATGAATGATGTTTGCAATGACATTGTCGACTGTCTTTATGGCAGTGATGAACTAATTTGTTCCGAGCAAGAAATTCAAAATAAACATTGCAAAACTGATACTATACTAAAGGCCTATTGTAATGAAAATGAACAAACATTTTCCAACAATACAAATGAAAGAGCTATTGAAGAATTAAGAGATAGTTTGAATACTATTCAAATATATTTTAAAGGAGTTTACTATTTCAATCCACAAGAAATCATGTATAAATTATTGATTATTGATATTAGAAATTCTGTACATAAGTTAATTAATAACTTTTTGGCAAATATGCCAAATTTAGTAGTTTTACATTTAATGAATGTAACATTTGAAAATTTAGGGCAATTCAGCAATACTAGTAATTTTAGACTACTTCAAAATTTGAATGTATCTTACAATAAATTAAAATATTTGACATTTCTTCATAAATTCAAGAATTCAAGAATTTTATACCTTGATTTATCACATAATTAGATATATTCAATGTCAAAACAAGATTTTCAATCACATAGTCATCTTAAAGTTTTAAATTTACATTCTTGTTTTATTAAATATACTACAAACAATTTTTTGCATATTCAAAGTAACCTTATTGAAATCTATTTACAAAATTCTCCAATAGATGACATTACTGACAAAATACTTTTTATTAAAATGAAAAAGATTACAAAAGTTGTTAGTAATAGTTTTAAATTGTGTTGCTTTGCTTGGAAATATCATGGAAAAAAACAAGTAAATTGTCAACCAAGTTCATAACTATTCCTTACTTGTACAACATTATTAAACTCAAAACAAACAAGAGTAATATGTTGGACAATAGGAACCATTGGTTTTATGGCTAATAGCATTAGTCTTCTAATTGCTTTCACTGTTAAAGCATCAAAGAAATATAGATTTTTAATATCATTTTCTGATTTGTTGACATCATTCTACATTACCTTCCTAGCTGTAGCTGATTTGTATTTTGGTGGAAATTATCTAGAAGCTGATTCAAATTGGAGGAGGAGTATCATATGCCAATCTCTTGGAGTAATCATGACATTTTCATTGATATTATCTTCTCTTTCTATTCTAGTAATAGCTTTAGAGAGGCACAGAGCAATTGTCAATCCATTTTCATTTTCTAAAATTCCAATAGGAGAGAATACCATCAGCGTGTTGGTGCTCTTAATAAGTTCTTTTTTGGCAATAATACCAGCTTTACTTCATCATGTAGTAATATACTACTAACATTTTGCTGTAGTTTAAAAGAATTTTTTTATTGGTTGAGCAGAAATACCAATCCAATGTTCCAATATGTTTTGATATTCATATTCGAAGTGACAAAAGAGAAGGATGGCTAAAAGCAAAAGCAAAAGCTCTACAACAATGGACATAGCCATTGTACATAATTTGCTAGGACAAACTAATCTACAGTTACAACTTGGGGAGGGTTCTGGTCAAGGGCTAGGATAAAATCACAAAACTGTGGGTGTTCTATTTGTTATGGATTGTGTGAAAAAACTGCATTTACACTTGATAAACAAATAATTATAGTGATAATTAAAGAATACACAATGTAATGTTAATGTTCACAATAGATTATTTACTTGAACATAAAAGATTAATTAAAATCTTTTTCCATTGTTTGAATGAGTCAACTCACTTTATAAGTAAAACAAGTTGGAACAATTTTGAACAGTTTCCAAAAAACTGTTACCTTTTTGCTTTGTTTCAATTGATAGAAAAAATGACAAGTGTCTTAAATAAAAACCATTTAGTTTTTGCTCTTTTCTATTTGGTTGTGTTCTTTAAATGTTCTCAATTCGAACCAGTCTATCGTAATTGTAAACAGGCTCTTTTAAATAGAAATTTTGTTAATTCAACTTATAAAATTCAACCAATAATTAAAGGGAGAATTTTCAATATTTATTGTTATTTCAACAAATATGGCTATGTTACTGAAATTGGCAATGACGCTGAACAGAATAAAATATTAAAATCTTTTGGAGATGATTTTCGCATAGTTAAAATAAACTACAATAATCTAACTGATTAAGAACTACAGGCAATTAAACAGGTTTCCGGGCTCTGTTCTCAATACATGTCACTTTTAGTTGAAAAATCTCAAGCGCATCTCTTGAATTTTAGATTCTTTGATAAGACAAATTTTACCTTGAATAACTTCAATGATGGTATCTGCAATTGTTTAATATCAAAGGTGTGTCTAGATGCGAAAATGACAAATTTGAATTGCATTGATACTGGTAGCAAAAATTATGATCAAAAATACAAACTATCAGGTCAAATTTCTGTTTCCTCAAATAGATTACCATTAGTTCAAACTGAATACGGCGATATAGATGACAGTAATGAATGGATAAAACATTATATTGGCCTACTTAAATGCATCTCTCCTTCAATC